ACAATTTCAAAACAAAATGATAGGAAATTAACAATGGATATTATATTGCATATTGTTATCTTCAAAGTAGTTGCTTAGATTTCCAGATATAGGCAAGTAAGATTGATCAAACATAAACACTAACTGTTCCTTTTAATGAACTAATAAAAATTAGTAGTACAGCTATTACATATATGTGTGTGTGTTCCTTCCTTCTTTTCTCCTTTCCCCCATCCCAGTTGTTCTTTTTGGGCAGTTTCTTTCCCTTTCACAATATCTAATGTACCTTTGAGATTTTATTTACTCTTTCAGTTTCTTACACTAGGAAGACAATGTGATGTTTACATCTGTGCGTCTGTTTTATTTCACTTGAGTGTGTGGTGTTGGGCCAGTGATATAGCTCAGTGGCACAGTGCCTCGCTTGGCAAGCACAAGGTCCTGAGTTTGATTCCCTGTACCAAAAGAAAAAGTGTGTGGTGTCAAGTTGCATCCATTTATGTATAAAAGCCTCAAGTTTATCTTTCTTTATCACTTAGTAATACTCCACTATATTAAAATACTACATCTTTTATCCATTCCTCAGTTGATGGGCATTTGGGTTGTTTCCAAGATTTAGCTATGACAAATTGTACTGCTGTAAACATGGGTGCATATATATCACTGTTGTATGATGTTTTTGATTCTTCTGGGAAAATACCCAGAAGGGGAATAGCTGGGTCGAATGGGACCTCTAATCCTAGTTTTTTGAGGAATCTCCACACTGATTTCCCCAGTAGTTGTATCAAACTGTGCTCCTACCAACAGTGGAGAAGGGTTCCTTTTTCCCATGACCCCACCAGCGTTTGTTATTTGTTGATTTCTTGATAATAGCCATTCTTCCTGGAGTGAGATGGAATCTCACTGTTGTTTTAATTTTCATTTCTCACATGACCAATGATGTTAAACATTTTTTCATATATTTATTTGCTATTTGTCTTCATCTGAGAAGTGTGTATTCATCTTAGATGCCCATTTTTGGATTATTGAATTTTGGGGTATGATTTTTTGAAATTCTTTATATGTTCTAGATAGAAGTCCTTTGTCTGAGGGACAGTTGACTAAAAATTTTTCCCACTCTATGGGTTTTCTTTCATTCTGTTAGTGATGTCTTTTGATGTGCAAAAACTTTTTAATAAGATGAGATCCCAGTTGTTGACTCTGAAATATTTCCCGTGTAGTTTGGTTTTTGTTCATGAACTCTCTGCCTACCCTTATGTCTTTGAGATTTCTATCTACTTTCTCCTCCAACTTTAGTGTTTCTGTCTTAATATTTAGATTTGTGATCCAGTCTGACTTTAGTTTAGTGTGTGGTGATAAACATGGATCTAGTTTTAGTATTCAGCATGTGGAAGACCAGTTTTTCCAGCACCATTTATTAAAGAGGTTGTCTTTCTTCCATTGAACATGTTTGGCAAAGATAAGGTGGCTGAGTGTGTTTGTAATTGTGTCTGCATTCTTCTAATCTGTTCCATTGATCCTCAGGGCTGTTTTTTTGCCAGTACCATGCTGGTTTTATCACAGTAGCTTTGTAGTATAATTTCAAGTCAGGGATTGTGCTGCCTCCTGCCTAACCTTTGTTGCTCAGGATTGCCTTTGCTATTCTAGGTCTCTTCTACTTCCAAATGAATTTTAGGAATGTTTTCTCTAGTTCTGAGAGATATGCTAGTGGTATTTTGATCAAGATTGCATTAAATCTGTATAACAATATTGGTAGTATTGCCATTTTGACTATGTTGGTTCTTCCTATCCATGAGCAAGGAATATCTTTCCATTTTCTGATATCCTCTTTGATCCTTTTTTTCAGTTACTGTAATTTTTACTATATAGGTCTTGTACTACCTTTGTTATATTGATTCCTAAGTATTTCATTTTTTTGGATGATATTATGAAGGGTGTGGTTTTTCTCATTTCTCTCTCAGTGAGTTTGTTGTTTGTGTACAGGAATACTCTTGATTTCTGAGTGTTGACTTTGTATCCTACTATGCTACTGAATTTGGTTATTAACTCTAGAAGTCTTTTTTTGGGGAGGTTGGGGGTTCATCTATGTACAGTATCATGTCATCTGCGAATAATGATAATTTCACTTCTTCCTTTCCTTTCCTATCCTTATTCCTTTTATTTCTCTCTCTTGTCTAATTGCTCTGGCTAATGTTTCCAGAACTATATTGAATACGAGTGGTAATAGTGGATATCTTTGTCATGCTTCTGCTTTTAGAGTGAAACTTTCAGTTTTTGTCCATTTAGTATGATGTTGACTGTTGGTTTGTCATAAATGGCTTTTATCAGACTTCAGTAAAGAACATCTATTCTGATTTTCTGTAGGGTTTTTTTTTATCATGAATGAGAGTTGAACTTTATCAAAAGCTTTGCCCTGAATTTATTGAGATGATCATGTGATTTTTGTCTTTGCCTCTGTTGATATGGTATATTACATTTATTGATTCGTGTATATTGAACCATCCCTATATCCCTGGGATGAGTCCCACTTGGTCATGGTGTATAATCTTCTTGATGATTTTTGCTGCATTCTGTTTGCCAGTATCTCATTGAGGATTTTTGCATTTGTGTTCATTAAGGAGATTGGCCTATAGTTCTCTTTTTTGGTTGCATCTTTCTCTGATTTTGGTATCAGGGTGATACTTGCCTCTAGAGTTAGGGAGAATCTTTTCCTTTTCAATTTCATTAAAGAGTTTGAGGAGTATTGGCATTAAATCCTCTCTAAATTTCTTGTAGATTGGTGTAGTTTCTTGAAGCATTCTGTGTTGTCCTATGATGCATTGTACTCTTGCTGCTTGACAGGAGGTTTGCGAGAAATTGGAATTGTGTGTTAATAGTACCTTTGTATAACAAGATGTCAAGTTAAAGATAGGGAATGTGCACAAATGATCCAGTGTTTTTAAAGTTGGTTGGTAGTATATCCAGAGTTTCTGTGGTTTGTGTGTTTTAACTTTGACTTTAAACTACACAGAATAAAGATGAAAAAAGGAAAGTATGTATGATAGCCGGTTCTTTGCAAAACCTATCTACATGTTACTTATCAAAAGATGGGTTTGTGATACCCAGGAATGTCCAGCACAGCACTGAAATTGGTATGAGAAAAATGACGAACAGCAGGTTCTGAGACTGCACGATGTAACTGAGATAACTCTTCAGTGTTTGGAAAGGAGTGCTCTCGTTGGTTGACTCTAAAATGCAATCCCTGTTCAGGTGGTAGCTGCTAAATGAGAAAGGACAAGAGAGAAAAGAGAGTCGAGATAAAATTTTAAAATGAGGTCAAAGGTGTAGCAGCAAAGACAGGACAACATGACAGGTAAAGGAGCAGTCCAAGCAGACAAGGAAACAAGTGCAGTTTGCAGTGTAAGATCCCAAAGCTTCACACATCTCCTTTGCTCGTAAGCAGATCATCACATTATAGCGATGGCCTTTTTGGTGTTTTTATTTTTTAACAACAGAACAGTTGTGCAGTTGCCAGAGTATTTGTTCTGAGACCTGGATGACCTGCAGTTGCAGGATGAGATTGCTAGACGGTTGGCTGGCAGCCTGAGCAGAAAATGCTCCTTGACTCAAGTCGGGTCCTGGAAATTTGTAAAAGAAATAGCTAGCTGCTTCTTTCTAGTGGCTTTTCCTGCAGTTCTGTGCCACCCCCAGTTCTATTCACTGTCATCTTAGGAACAGGTTGCATCATCCATCAGGATGTCACCCCATGTCTTTAATCTGTTTTTGCCTCATCCAAAGGCCAGTGTCTGAGCAGTCTTCCTTCTCCCTAAGGCACTCCAATGGCTGCTGTCTGTGTACAGTGGGATTCTAATTACCGCCAACCTACCCACTTCCAACGTAGTAAATATCCCATTCCTGTAGAAATGCCCAGCTAAGAGTTTTAAGGTTATAATCGTCTATTTTCCCATTCTTCCTCCTAAAACTTTCATTATTACTGTCCCCCACCTGACGGATCCCAACCTCCCTATAATTCTCATGTCAGTAGCCCTTTTAGAATAGTATGGCATTGCGCTAGCAAGATGATGGCTTAATGTTAATAATGGTAGTCTGGAATCATCAAGAATAATTCAGATTCTGCTAGCATTCTAAGATTTACAAAAGGAAGGGATTATTTGCTTTAGGGAGATTTGCATCATGAACAACTTTGGCCTTAAGCACTTACAAAGTTTAGCCAGGGTTACTAAGAATATTCACTGGGAAACATCTCATTCATTTATCTGCCAAATACTTAGTATCTGCCAATACTCTGCCAAATACATTTATCTGCCCAACACATATTAAGTTGGACATTTCCTTGTTATGCACAAAATGTAAGGAGACTAAACAATTCAGCCTGGTGTGTATATTATCAACTATTTCTCCATAGTTATGTAATGATATTCTTGATCAGAATGTAATATACTGTTATCCAAATGGGATGATACCACTATAATAAACATTTCTTGCCTCTTCTTATTTTCATTGGCAGTAATTCATAGAAGGTTTTCTGCTTCAAAGGAATTCATTTATTTAAGCTTGATAATGTTCCCTATTATGGATATAGTATACTTCATTCAACTTTCCCTTTGATAGGTATTATTTATTTCGAGGTTTTCTTCAGTTTCTTTTATGTATTTGTATCTGTTTGTTCATTTCTTTTCCCAGGGGCTAAGTTTATTTGGCAGAGATTAAAATCATGGAAAGTCTAGGTTCTGACCTGGTCGCACTGATTTACTAGTTCCGTGAGATTAAACCCATCCTTTCTGATGCATAATCTATGTGTAATGTGTAATCTTTTTACTGCAGTTGGTAAAAAAAAAAAAAAGAAAATCAGAACAAACCTTCAGGTAATAAAACCATCTGCTTTCCTCAGAAGTTTATGAAAATGGGGGAGTGAATATAAAAATACGGATTATAAAGTTGATTGTATTAGTTTGTGTTTATGCTTATAGGTAAGGAAAGGTAAATGGGTGAAATCAATACCTTTTGTCCTTTCTTTCTGTTAGAACGGGATGACTCCTCTAATGCATGCAGCGTATAAAGGAAAACTTGATATGTGCAAGTTGCTTTTACGACACGGAGCCGATGTGAATTGTCACCAGCATGAACATGGATACACAGCCCTCATGTTTGCTGCACTCTCTGGTGAAGTTTTAGCCCTTCTCTGCTAATAATAGTTACCTATACAAACTTAAGTACATATATTTTTTAAAATTACACACATTTTTATTTTAGTAATTTAAAAAGTTTTATGAAAATGGTGAGAATTAGTGGGGTTTGTTTTTGTTTTTTGAGACAGGGTCTCACTGTGTAGTCCAGGCTGGCCTTGAATTTACTGTGTAGCCCAGACTGGTCTTGAGCTCATAGTGATCCTCCTGCCTCAGCCACCTAAGTGCTGTGACTACAGGCATATATCACTACACCTCGTTGAGAATTGGTTTTTTGAAAGGTACAATGTATGAAATACTTTTATAGTTAATGTGATATGTTCCTTTAGTGACTTAAGACAATTAGTTCTTTAGGTTGATAGGTTTTGGGAGAATAGAGAAGCTGGGTCTGTTGTCCTTTTAAGTAGTTCCTTTGCTGTCTGTGTCTTTAGATTTTGAGATAATCTGACCACTGCATTGTTCTCTTGATCCAACAGCTGCTGTGGTAGAGTTGTTTACCTCACTGAAATTTATGTACTTAATATGATCATACATTTAGAAACTTACGCCTGCTCATCTTTATTACTTGAGAAATAATGTCTAAGATTTCACAGGGTTATCTGTGATTATTGTAGTTCTTTAAGAAAAATACCTGTCATATAGTGGTCATATTTTAAAATAATAACCTATATTTTTATAAACCTGGAACCCAAAAGCATTTCTGAGCATTGTATATAAAATTTAGACTCTAAAAAATACTACACTGACCGATTTGTTTGCCTACCATTTTAACCTTGTCATACATGGGATATGCCGTAAATAGAATTAAAATACAAGTGAAAACTGAAGGAAAATATTTATTGTATATCTTATAGGGTCATATTGCTATATATAAAGAGCTCCTGTATAAAATTAGAGGACAAATACTGTAACAAAATTGTACTACTAATTTCTGTTGGTTTATAGAAAGGAACAGTTAATGCTTAATTTTTTTGTCCAATTTTTCATGCTTATATCTGGTAATCTGAACAACTACTTTGAAGATAACAATATGCAATATAACAACCATTGTTGATTTCCTGTCATCTTGTTTTGAAGTTCTGTATCATTTTTAATTTTTTAAAGAACAATTTATTCTCTTTAAAATAAAAAGGTGAAAAAATTACACAGAGAACAAAATATGTAACTGGCTAATCAACATATAAACCATTTTCAGTAATAAAGCAATTTAAATTAGTACAATAAATTATTATTTTACGTTGATTATATTAGCAAAGGCTAGCAAAACAGTGCCTAGGAACTTCCATGCATTGTTTTGGAGAATAGATTTCCAGTTCAACCTTGCTAGGCACAGTGCATTTAAAATATGTATGACCTTCAACCCAGCTATGATTTTTAGAAAATTGCCAAAAATATTGTGCTTCAAACTTGCAAAGCTAAATGGATGATGTTTTTCACTAAATGTAGTTTATAATAACAAAATATCTGTCGTGATTTAATCAGTGATGGAATGTGAGTAGAATAAACTATGGGTGCTGAGATAGAAAGATAGGTCCCCAATAATTAATAGTTATTCCAGGTTCTGCGGGTATGAGGGATGAAATTTTAGTGGATATTAAAAGACGACTTTTCAGATTTGTCTCTTCTGTCTTTATTTCTTTGCTACTTTTTGTATGTTTTGGTTTTATACTGAGCATTGTCATTAAGAAAATAGTTTACTTTTAAAAAGTGATGTTCAACTCTATACCATTTTCATATTGCCTGATTTGTTTTCTAGAAATGTTTGTTTGCAGTAGTGCAGATTAAACCCTGGATTTACTCCTGAGCTATATCCCCTAGTCCCCCACTTTTTTTTTTTATTTTGAGACAGGATTTTGCTGAGTTGTTCAGGCTAGGCTCAAAGTTGTGATCCTCCTGCCCCAGCCGTCCAGAGTGCTGGGTTACAGGCATGTGTCACTGTGTTTGGTTGAAAAATAGTTTTTAAGTACAGTAGATTCTGTTGTAGTTTTCTTTCTACTAGAGTTATGTAGTTTGGAAAACATGAAAAACTCATAGATGTAAAGGTAAGTGTGTGGGATGTCGATAATCTGAAGGAGGTGTTCACATTGTGCATTCCTTAATACTGACAAATTATTCCCTTAATTGTAGGTAATAAAGACATCACATGGGCAATGTTGGAAGCCGGGGCAGAGACAGATGTTGTCAACTCCGTAGGGAGAACAGCAGCTCAGATGGCAGCCTTCGTGGGTGAGCTTTTGCTGTAGTTTTACAGTAGCTTTAAAAAAAATAAGCAGGTACAATCCAGTCTGAATGACGTAGTAAGATACTTAGTGACACTTTAGAAAAAAAATGAATGTCTATTGTGAATTCAGCTATTGTGAATTTCCATATTGTGAGACTGAAAGACTGGAAGGGCCATTTTAATTGCAGTTGGGTGCTTTGAAGAATCTTTTCTCTCTGACGGAAGTTGAGTAACCTAATGTGTAAGGATGTGTGGTGTGGAGTCAGGAATCTGGAGCTAAAATTCTAGCTGTGCCGCCCTGTAGCCAGGTACTTAATGATTCCCACTCTCAGTTTCCTCGCTCTGAAATGATCACAGGATTATTTCCAGGATTAAAAGAGATGATAGACTTACAGGGGTTTGTATGTAGCACTAAACACATAGTTGCTGTCAATAATAATAATTGCGGCAGTGATCCAGTTCTTTCTTAGAAGGAGTGTTCGATAATAATATTCAGCTGCTTCATTATCATATTTATCAACCACAAACATTTATTTTGTGTGCCCGTCAGTTCTTGGCATATGAGTCCTGTTGACGTGGTATAGCAGTGTAGGCGAGAGTGAGAGTGAACACTTCATCATTGGTAATTTGAACTCATGGAACTGGCAGTCAAGAGAATCCAGTGATGGAAAAGCAAAGATAGACCACCCGGATGGTGGCGCACGCCTGTAATCCCAGCACTTGGGAGACTGAGGCAGGAGGACTGTAGTGAGTTTGAGGTCAGCCTGGGCTACGTAGTGAGTTCTAGGTCAGCCTGCACTATATAGTGAGACCTAGTTTCAGAAAACCAAAAATGAAAAATGAAAGGTAGGGACATCGGATTTACTGGACATGCAATGAATGGCTTTGCAGGGACCAATAATTTATTTATTTAACAGTTTCTTAATACTCACAACCTGTATACCAAGTATCACTCTGGATCACTTGGTTACAGTGGGGAAGATGATATTGTTCAAGCTTTCATGATATTTAGTGGAAAATAGCAATGACAAGAGGTATGAAAGTATGAGAATTTGAGTTCCATAGAAGGACATGGGGAAGGGGGATCTTCTCTCTTGCTCCAAGTGGGTTTTGAGAGAAATGAGAACATATAAAATTTGGAAATAGTCAAATGTAGATAATGGTAACTATACATCATTTTAAATTTTATTACTCAGTTTTCTTGAAGCTGATAATAGCTACCACTGATGAAGCCTGATAATCAGTCATCTTATGACAGCATTGTGAAAATGGATATTCTTGTTGTATTTTAATTTCAGGAGGATTTGAGAAAGGTATGACCTTGTTATGCTTATGAAAAATATTTTCTGTCCCAGCTAGGGACCCGTAGTTGCCCCTAACCAACCTCTAAGCTACTTGGAGGGTGTCAGTGCAGTGGGACAAGAACATTAAACTAGGAATTTGGAGATTTGTTTCTTAGCTCATGTTTCTTCCTAATTAGGATTGTGAGAAAATCCCATCACTCCATGGGCCCTAATTTTTTGTTCTTTATGCAATGAAGCAGGGGAATTAGGTGAGTCCAGAGGTTTAGTGAACTTTACAATTTTCCATTATATCTACAATTTTAGATCGCAGGTAGAGGTTGCCTTCCGCATGGTCACGAAAGGGCTTGTCTTCCAATTAATGTGCTGCTCCTCTTTTCTTTTCTTTCTTTCACAGTGTGACAGAAATCTAGGGCAGAAAATGTTCCCATTTTAGAGTGTCTTATTCTAAATGAAAGTAAGGATTTCATTCCATTTCAACTAGTTAGAGTAATTTCATAGATGGGAAATTATATTGCAGCCTTCCAGTTGAAATTATATTTGCCATATAATTAGCCTTTTCAGAGTCAGGCCTCCTTCTTTTGTTTCCATCAAGTGGATAGGTATATGCACAGTGTATACGCACATATACAAGGTTTTTGTCATTATAAAAATGTAATCAGCCTGTTTTGTATGTTATAAATGCAAAAAAAACCTCTTTTGCCGAACTCTTTCTTTTTAATCTTCATCATTTTAGTAGTATAACTTATAAACACATAGGTGAATTTTGTCTTGTAATCCAAATGATAATCTCTTTTTAGCAGGTATTTAGGTTGTGCATATTTAAAATAATTATGCATATACTCAGTTGCATTATTTATTTTTACTCTGTCGTGTGTGTGTGTGTGTGTGTGTGTGTGTGTGTGTATGTGTTTCCTTAATTTGATTTGCTTGGTCAGACCTGTACGTCAACCCCACTCCCAAGGCGCTGTCTTTGACCATTCAGCAATCCATGAAAAGGCGAAACCCTCATATTCATTTTTCTACATCTTCTGCTTTTGCCTTCTAGGCTACAAGTTTTTTTTTTCTGCTGCTTCCTCTTCCTCAAAGCCTGTCACATGTCTAGCTGTGAACTTTGTATTTTTAGTACCATTGTTATTAGATGTCATTGACAGCATGTTGCTTTGCTTCCAACAGTCCTGTCCACAGTATGATTTCTTAGTCATCCAGTGACCCCCCCCCCCTACTGTCCTTTCTCTTGTCACTCTTGGGATCTCTGACCTTATTTAGGTTTTGGTTATAAGACCTTCTCAGATGAGTAAGCTGCTGTTTTTCTCAGCTTTTTATCATTGTGACAAATACCTCCCATAAATCAACTTAGAGGAGGAAGGGTTTATTTTGGTTTACTGTTTTAGAGGATTTAGTTGATGGTCTCTTGACTGCCAGGCAGAAACATTATGGTGGAAGTCTGTGGAGAACTGTTCATGCCATGGCAGCCAGAAAGCAGAAAGACAATGAGCCAGAGGGAGGAGGAGGGGCTGGGAACAGAGACACCTTTCAGAGCCCGCACCTCCAGGATGTACTTCCTCCAAAGGGGCTTTGCCTCCTACTGGCCCCTTCAGATGAACCTATAAATGGACTAATGGGATTAATTCATGTACAGGTGTAAATTTGCATACACAGATACCTCTGTTATTTTGATGCTGTCATGTTCATGACCCACTTGCACTAGATTTGTCAAGGAAGTCATGATCATTTGCTAAATAGAACTCACCTGGGCCAGGGATATAGCTCAGTGGCACATGCGTCTGCCTAGCAAGTGCAAGATCCTGAGTTCGATTCCCTATACCAAAATAAATAAGTAAAGAAGCAGAGCTCACTTTGGTTTCTTTCAGATTTTTAATATGGATTGGTACCTTTGACTTATCAAGAGGTCAAATGGAACTTTTGGAGGAAAAGAAGGACCAACCCACTGTATCCCCCCCCCCAAAAAGAAAAAGAATCTAGTGTTGTGGTACTTAATAGTAGTGTGGAACACCTGAAATAATACCATGATTACACCTAATTTATTTCAAATCAGAGGTAGTTCTTTCATTCCCCATCCGTGCCTTTTTTTCTGTCTGGGAGATAGATTTCCTGGATCACTTCAGCTTATCTCTATTATAATGATTTTTCTCTCTGAATTATTCTGTACTTTGAGATTGTCCACTGGATCTACAGTTTCCTAATTTAGTTCTTAGTAGTACATTGAATTACCTCTTCCTATTTGTATAATAATTTTTAATGTTTTTGTGGGTTTTTTCTCCCAACCCTGGTAGTGGGGATTGAATTTAGGGCCTTTAGAGTCTAGGTGTGAAGTCCAGGCTGGCTTTAAACTCATGATCTTCCTGCCTCTGCCTCCCAAGTGCTGGGATTATAGGCCTGGGCCACCATACCTAGCTCTTTCTGTTTGGTTCTCGAAGGGCTATTGCTGTTGTTGTTCCTGCTGTACTCATTGCTGGAGGCTCTCGATGGTTCTGGAGCCACAGGATCCCTAGGGTGCTCTGTCTCTTAGGCAGCTAGCCAAAGCCCAGGCTGGTGGACCAGTTCAGGGAGGCGCTGTGGGTCTTGAGACCCATGGGCCAGGGACACCCAGACAGCTGAGTCACAGGGAGGAACTGACCCCTGCCTGGGCTCCCAGGGTCTCTGTGGGCCAAGCAGAGCCCTCTGCGAGCCCCATGGGGCAGGGTGCAGCTGCCACTGTGTGATGCCTCTGCAGGTCATCTGTTGTACCCAGGATCAAATGGACACTCCCTGCATTGTGTGCATGGGGCTGGGGCCTCAGGGGCTGCCCAGGGTGGAAGGGTCTCAGGGAGTGAGAGCCACAGTGTTGTCCCCGGACAGTGCAAGTCCCTCTGGAAGTCTCTGGAAGGCTCTCATGCGCCTTGCAGGTCCTGCCTGCCTGCTTGCCTGCTGGGGTGGCTACTGCCCGGCTACAGAAAGAGGATGGAGAGCCCGGGAGGGGAAGCAGCAGGAGCTACCACCAGGCCACCAGGCCACACCTGCGCCAGGGCCGGGTCTGCTGATAGATCCTTTCCTAACCTGAGCAATGTCCAGAGAAGCCCCTGAGAGGTGGTGAGAAGCCATCATGCGGATTCCAAGCCACAAAGCCATAGTGCTTTCTGTAATTCATTTCGCGGAATGGCCAACCTTTCATCAGTTCAAGGGGAAGGATATTTATAAATATTATTAGTAATTATGATGAAGCTACTTTATATAGCATAAATTTAAATGATGTAAAAATACATACTGGATGTGCTTTAGGGGAACATGATTATCATTTTTATGGAGGAGAAGAGACAAGTTATAATCAATTCTTATAAACTACTTTTGGGGTCAATTGTAACTTGAACATGACTTTTAAAAAAATCCATGTATGCATATGTATTTCATTCTATGTATTATGTAACCTGTGGGGTGTGTGTATGTGTGTGACTGAGGATTAAACCCTGGGTCTTCTCACTGTGCTACATTCCCAGCCCTTCTTACATTTCTTATTTTGTGTCAGCATTTCTCAGTGTGGCAAATTGCTCAGCCTGGGCTTGAACTTGCAGTCCTCCTGCCTGAGCCTCCCAGAACAGAGCGCTTGGATTACAGGCCTGCACCACCTCCCCTGGCTAGCGTGTGTGTCTTTAAAAGATGATTGCTTTAGCTTAAAGTGGGTATCACTGTACTTTAACTCTCCTCCTCATCCTCTGCTCTCCTTTCCTGAAGAATAAAGACATTACTTGCATGTTTAATTCACACGAAAACAGCAACATAATAAAATCCAGACAATGTCTTAACAATAAAATTACTACTTTTCTATTTTTCTGTTGAAAGGTCAACATGATTGTGTGACAATAATCAACAATTTCTTTCCGAGAGAGAGACTGGATTATTACACAAAGCCCCAGGGGCTGGATAAAGACCCTAAACTGCCCCTGAAGTTGGCTGGCCCACTGCACAAAATCATCACCACAACAAATCTTCACCCCGTCAAGGTAGTGTGGTGTTTGTTCTACTTGCCTCCCATTTCTGTGTTGGAGTTTGAACCACTTTAACTCTATGTCATGGTTGTCCCGGGTTGCGTTTTCTAGAGGCAGAGTTTGTAGAGATCTCACTTGTTCATGGAAGGGGTCATGGAATGGGTGCCCCCAGCCAAAAAGTGGGGGGCAGAGGGAAACGGAGGAGTAGGAGAAGGGCCCCAGCCCAACTTCCCCTCACCCTGCAGGCCGTGCTGGAGTGGGCCTGGCTGCAGAGGCGAGGAAGGGAGTCAGGCTTTCATATCCATCTGTCTGTTGTTGGTCAGGGTCTCTTGCCAGTGGTATATTTAACACTCAACTTAGATGGATCACATTTATCTTTGATAGCAAGAGATTTCTTGAATGCGGGTTCTTTTGTATTAGTTTTATAACTTTGATCAGTGGCAGCATGTTCTAATTTGAATGAGCACAGGCTCTCGGGTTGGGTGGGCTGAGATGGCCCCCTGGGAATGAGGGGTTCTCTGGAGGGGGAGGTCCCCCTGAGCCCGTGGCAGCCAGCGTTTGGTGAGAGTGGTGGGGACCTGGTGTGCAAGCCTAGTGTAGAGGATCTGGGTAGGCCACACCACATCTGCTGCCGGAATGAACCTTCTGGGACATACTCTGACTTGTGATCACAGAGACATTGCTGACACAAATGGCTTTGATGCCTTTAAGTGGCACAGTTCTCCCAGCAGTTGGATCAGATGGTCAGACTTGCATACATTCAGATTGCTTGAGGGAAACTTCAAGAGCTATCTCCACTGCTCTTTTTCTTTGGGTCAGTCATGTTCTAAACAGCAACCAAAAGATGCAGAAAAAAATCTGAATAAAATAAGATGTAGAATCTACCTTTAAAAAATACTTAGTTCTCTCCCTCCCAGGAGTCCCAGGGGCTGCTCATTCATGGCACCTGGGCTTGGGCCAGGCTGGGTGGAAAGACAGGGGACAGGTTTTTCATAGTGCAGAGGATGTGTGGGTTAAAAGACCTTTGTTCTCCCTTGGCCTGAGCATTCTAGGATATTGTAGTTTAGATTGATTTGAAGAAGGCCTTTGTATTTTTCTGATTCTACCTTGCTATGCCTTCAGATTGCATTAAGTTTCTGGAATAATTTTTGATGCCTCCATAGATCCCAGTCTCTCAGGGTACAATATCTTAGGAATTATTCTATCCTCAGTTATCTTTAAAGGCATATATTTTAAGTAAATTAGATTAGGGACATATTTATAGAGGCAATAAACTGCAAAGGTCATGCTGTTCACTTAAACACTGTCTTTTATCCTTGGGATATAAAAACTCCTGAGTTGCTTTTGTGGTGGCCCATTTTCACTGCTTTACCCCCTTTCAAGCCAGCACAGTTCTTTATAGGGAATATTATTTTAAAATAGTAACAAATAGCCACTCTTTAAAGTAAAACACCTTTTAAAATAAGTGCGAAGATTTGACCCAACACACAGCTCTCCTTTTTATTAGCTGGCCTCTAACATAGCTGCATTTGTGTCTAGGTTCAGTGGCTGCTATAGCAATGACAGTGTGTTTGTTTTCAAAAGGGACTTGGGGAATTACTTTGATTCCCAGAAAATAAAGGTTATCTAGGAGCAAAACCGAATCACAGGGGAAAAAAATAGCAGCAGATTTGAGTCTCTAAGTAGAAGGAAGATAGGTGTTCACAGAGTAGTCCTGTCTTTGATTATTAAGACAGTTTTCAAGCTCAGAATTGCTGATTTAGAAATTTAAATACTGTAATAGGATTTGGGACAGGGGGTCTAGCTCAGTGGTAGAACATTTGCCTAGCATGCATAAGACCCTGAGTTTGAACTATAGCACCATTAAAAAAAAAAGATTTAAAGAATAACAATTCAAAATGCTACTCTATGAATTTTTGTAAGGTAGCTGTTCTTTTTTTTTGTCTTTTTGAGACAGAGTCTTGCTATGCAGTTCAGGCTGGCCTTAAACTCACTTTGTAGGCCAGGCTGGCCTCGAACCCACAACGTCCACCACCATGCCTGGCCCAATTCCTTTTTTTTTATTTTTTATTTTTGGTATCGGGAATCGAACTCGTGACCTCAGCTTGCCAGGCAAATGCTTATCCTGCTGAACGATATCCCCAGCCGAAAGCTACTTTAAAAATTTGGGTTTTTTTGGTACCGAGACTTGAACTCAGGACTCTGCACTTGCCCGGCAGGTGCTTGTGCTGCTGAGCTATATCCCTAGCCCTGGTAGCTGTTCTTTAAGTAATAAGATTCATATAGTTTTTGCAGCAGAAAGAATATGTTTAGTTCTCATTGGTATTTAATAAAGATTTCTTTTTGTATTCATAATCCTACAGAGATGAAGAAAATGATTCCTTGTGTGCAGCCAGGTATATTTTTCAGTAAGCCTAGAGTAATGCTGTGGTTCTTTATGATAACTTATTGTAAATATTTGCTTTATATTATGAAATAAATAAGGTCTAGTATGTCAAAACAGAAGTCATTCATCTACACTCTATTTGAGATTTTTAAAAAATTCTCACTTGTAAGAACTTATACTCTGATTATAAATGGTATATATAAAAATACTGACCAACTTTAAATTATTTCAGTTAACAAAATTATGAATAGATGATTAGTGAGTCTTCTCTGCCATGAAATAATGGATGTATGTTTTGGTAGAGGGAGTGACTAATCAACAAATTCACTAATAAGGATTCTGATTATATTTACTTCAGGTCTAGTAAATTATTAGTATGTGCTGAATTTTTAGAAATAGACTATATAAATCTAATAATGCCACTAGTAAATGAGAATACTCTTCTAATTTTTGGTGGACAGCTAGTCTACGTTACATTTCCAAGTGGAAGTTCAGGCATAGGTTTTACTTCAACTAACAGGTGATCTGTCTTCATGCCTAAAGAGAGGAATGTAATTCACAAAATCCTCTACCTGTTTCCTGATATTTGCAGTTCCTGGACGGGTGTTTAGCTGTAACAGAGCGTGTAGGTTAGGGAGTACTGACTGCTCTGTGTGTACAGAGCAGTACCCATGTGCCCATGTTATACACTTTTATAATTCTTTCATAGCAGGGTCTTACATGACAGTCCTGTGAACACCAGCTTTAAGTAATCTACCCCGTTACAAAGGCAGCAAAAAATGCTCCTCATTACACTAAGTTCAAGCTTAGTCTGTGCGTACGTAGGACCTGTGGGACACACAGTGTGTAAGGTCTGGTAACTGCCTACTGGTTCCTTTTCTCAGACTATTCGTGCTTTCTTGTTGACCTACTCTCATCATTACCCTCGGTAACTGGAAGCAGCTTCAGGAAAATTTCCACAGAGAAAGGTAGTTCATTGGAAAGTAAAATGCATTTTATTTCTACACCTTTTATAAAAATCTCATTTCCTTATAATTAATAAGAATTAATGAGAATTGTAGTTCTCTTAGCCATGAAATTAGAGAGCTTAGTAATGTCGATTAAAAGTTGGTCTGCATTTGAGTCTACATGTAAAGGCTGTGCATATCTGCCACAGTTCTCTCTAGTAAAGTGCTTTTAACAGAGATAGTAAAGCCCTGTACCCTGAATGGCATATTTAACACCCAACTTAGATGGATCACATTTAACTTTGATAGCAAGAGGTTTCTTGAATCAGGGTTCTTTTGTATTAGTTTTATAACTTTGATCAGTAGCAGCATCTTCTAATTTGAGTAAGCACAGTAAGTATATCATCCTATGAAAGGCTTTATATGGTAATCTCTTGAAATCAACTAAATCAACTGACCAGTTTGTACATGTAAAACTCTCTCATGGAAAATCTGAGTTTGCTGGGCTTTCTTTTAGATTGTGATGCTTGTAAATGAGAATCCTCTGCTGGCAGAAGAAGCTGCCCTGAATAAATGCTATAAGGTGATGGATCTGATTTGTGAGAAATGTATGAAACAAAGAGACATGAATGAAATCCTGGCAATGAAAATGCATTATATCAGCTGTATCTTTCAGAAATGCATCACCTTCTTAAAAGATGGAGAGAATAAACTGGACGCCCTGATCAAAAGGTACTGCTTTTACCACGTTAAAGTACACCGTAGACTCAAGTGGATAGTGTTTTATGGTGCAATGCCTAGTTATGGATTTAAAAATAAAGCATTTTAGCAGCAGCTGATATTCCTGGGATCACATATAGTTTGTAAGGATCAAGGGACAACATTACACTTAGATTGAGTTGCTTACTCAGTTTTGTACTCCGTAGTGAGTTTTAGTTGATATCACTGATTTATACATGAAGAATCTTGAGGTTTGGAGAGCTTGACTGGCATGTGGAAGATCCAGCCGGAAAGTGGCCACAGCCCAGATAGGACGTGAAGTATGCTGTGCCTCAGGTTGCTGCTCTGGGTTCATAAAAGTGTTAATGGAGCTCTCTGTGGTACCTGGGAGAGCTGTATCTTAGCCTTGTCCTGTGACCAACAGAGATTAAGTTTTCTTGCAACTTACTGAGAAAAAGGAACTAAAATAGAAGCGTGTGACCCAGTGAGACTTTGCATTCTTCCCACAAATAACAGAAATGGTAATAAGTAACTAGTTAATCTGATAAGAGCATTTAGCTTTTCATGGTGAGGGTCACCTTCACCTGGATATCTCAGGCCTCCGGAACCTGCGCAGGCCTAGCCTAGTGTTCTGTTTGGACAGAATTTTAGATTGAGTCCATTATCATTTGAAGACTCAATGAAAAATTCTTAACCAAGAAGAAACTACTAAAAGCTATTGGGTTTAGTTAAGAGAAAATACTTAGCAAGTCAACTTCAATTGCTCTTTAAAAATATCTTTCAGCTTGTTAAAAGGCCGAGCTTCTGATGGCTTTCCAGTATATCAAGAAAAGATCATTAGAGAAAGTATCAGAAAATTTCCTTACTGTGAAGCTACTCTCCTCCAGCAACTGGTGCGAAGCATCGCTCCTGTTGAAATTGTAAGGCTCCTATTAAGTGAACTCTATCAGTAAGACTTACTTACCATGTGATATGTTGTTAAAGACAAGTTCTCTTGAGTGTTTTTATTCAGAAAATATTTAGGAAGGAAGTGGGGATAGATTTACCTGCTGAACCTGTTATTCCTCTTATTCCTCTTACATTTCTCCTCTCGTGATCCTCTTACATTTTTGTAGCTCTCAGCTTAATAAACAGTATTTCCTTATGTAGGAAAGTAGCAGAATGTGAGAGTGATTTATCAACTACAAATGTGGTTTGGCTACACGTCAAACTCCAACCAATTGTTGTTAAATAGATAAGCGCCAATATATTCAACATACACCCAAACACACAAAGGTTGACAGGTCAGATCTGGCACAGTGGCTCAGAATGGATTAGGAACCAACACATTTTCCCATCTTTTTACCCAGTATTCCTTTGTCATGTAGGATTTCATAGTCTGACTGATGGCAGTGTGGCTACAGGCACATGATGACCCCTCTAGGCTCACATTCCCATCCCATGCAGGCAGGAAAAACAAAGGCGTCTCTATCTGGAAAATATAAGCTCTCCCAGATGCCTGGTGTCTCTCGTCAGCTGACCATGCTCAGCTGCGCAGGACCTGGGGAAATGAGTGTTTTGGGCTTATTTATTCACTGCTGCTCGGAGAGAAATTATGCTTTTCATAGGGAGGAAGTGGGGCAGGTGTCAGAGAAGCAGCTAGCAGCGCCTGCTGTGGGGGTTTCCAGTGCTCACAAGTGGCAACTCATGTGCCACCTTCGTGGGAGAAAACAGAGAAACTGAAAATAGCAGCCTGGGGTTCTCAGCAGCAGAGAAAGCGGATTGCTGTAGGGGTGAGCAATTCATCTTACCCCCACCTGATAGAATAATGACAAAGTTTATAGGGTATAATGACTAATGTTTATCCTAGTGATAAAGTCATCAAGAAAAGCCTTATAAATATAGTTAAGATAGTACTTGATGCAGTTTAGAAAGACTTCTCCTTTAAACATTCTGTTCATTAAGAGGTACACGTTCAACTCTCTGGAAAACATCCTGAGTGCTTGCAGTTGAGTGTCTCGGTTGGCCACTGTTTACTGCCTGGAAGTCTTTGTGCCCTGTGTGCTGCCCTTTCCCTGTAACACAGAATTCTCTCGCAGGCTGCTGTGAGATCTGCTCTGCTGCTTTCTGAGGTGCTGATGTCTGCACCCACGTGTGCAGGTTTTGATTCTCTCTGCCTGATGTAGGATTCTAGGTTCTCATGGTCACAAAGGTCAGCAGGAAGTGTAATGAAGGACTGAGTTCAAGAAGTAGTACCCTGCTGTAGTGGATTACGCCCTTCAAGGTGCTGCATCTGCCGGCAGTATGCATTTTGAGTTTTAGGAGCATAGCTCATTTTTCTGATTTCATAGCATACAATGAATAAAGCATCCTGTTTGTTTCCAGGCTGAGTGTCTCTCTATGAGAGGAGCTGTGGCCCTGGAACATCCTTGCTGTGTAACAAAGTTCTGATCACACAGCAGGGACAGAAAGGGTTCTGTGTGGTTAGCCCTCTGCATCGCTGCTAAGTTTTTTTCTGAAGCAGGAGTTCACACGAACACTGTTGTCCGAGCAAAATACCTTTTAGTTTCAGCTTCAGGGCAGGGTGTAGCTAAGTGGCAGAGTACTTGCTTAGCGCATGCAAGCCTTGGTGTCTATCCCCAGCACTGAAAAAAAATCAGTGTGTCCTAGACTGTCCCGTAAACGCCCCGGATTGGGAAAGAGTCTAAACATGTCTCAGGCAGTTCTGTGGGAAATACTTGAACGTGAGAATACAGTTGTTGTGATACCTGTTGAGTGCATCATATTCGATTGATTGATTGGCCAGATTCCTATCTGACCCGGTAAATAATACAGATTAATGAGCATTTAATGTAATATTAATTACTAGTAATTCTCAAACTTTTAATGTCTCAGACTTGCCTGGGAATGTTGGTAACTATGCAATCTGGATTACCCCCTTAAATATTTCATTTTAAAAGGTATGGAGTGAAGGCTTGAATTTGAGTTTTTAGCAAGTTTTCTGAGGCATGTATCAGCATCTGAGCACAATCGCTGTAGACCTTCATTCCTGATGAGCTGACTCACCTCTGCTATCGGAGGCTTCAGTCCACCTCGTTTCCCTCATCTGTACATTATGTTTAGTTTAAGAAAGAGTCCTAAGCACTTTAATATGAAAAGTTAGTATTATTGTCATTATCACATGTATTCAGGAGCATGATAGTTTCAAAGTGAATTTTATTTCTTGAATCTTTTGAGAATTTTCTTTCACGATCTTGAATTTATAGAATAGCATACAACATTATTCCCAGGTGATACTTTCTAAAACTCTATTGTCTATAGTTGGTAAGATAATATAAAAATAAACTTAGGACAAAGAAGCAAAGATGAATGAAAATGAAAATTTGAAAAGTGGCAAAATTTTGGTTGGGCGTGAATGTGTAAATTTGAAAAACTTGGAGCAAAGAACTGTTAAGAATAGATAAGAGAAATAAATATTCCATAAGTATTTTTGCTTACTACAGATAGATTTAAATAGCATAGCCTCAGGTAGCTAAATATTTACCCTTATAATTTTCTTCATACAGATTTTGTAAATCTCCTGTAATAACTTATTCTAACTTCAATAGCCATATGATACTATTTTTTCATCGTTGTTTTTTCTTAGTACTTCGATGCAATTTGAATGTATGTTTATTACAAGGAAACATCTCAGTGATAAAGGTGATAATTTAACCATTTGAATTGTAGCCCCAAATCTAGTAAGTAATTTAAAATATATGGTCTGTAAAACACTTAAATGGCACCAGCCTTCTATAAATTGAGGTAGTTAAATTACTTCTCATATGCTGTATGATTATCCTATAATTACATGAATATTGTCTGGATGTCAATTCTCAGAAGCTTTTACTGTTTCTAGACAGCATTATGTATGTTGGACGATATCTCTGCAGTCTTCCATGGTGATTTCAGCAGGTGTTTTCTTTTTACACATTCTAGGGTTCAGATCCCACTGCGTTCTCTGTACTTACCCAAGCCATCACTGGGCAGGTGGGGTTCGTGGATGTTGAATTTTGTACCACCTGTGGAGAAAAGGGAGCAAGTAAAAGATGTTCAGTATGCAAAATGGTAAGAATGGAGTTTGTTTTTCACTGATACCTGGTTAAGATTGCATGCGAGCTGACAATTATTAATATTCTGTAAACATACAGTTGATATTAATTTTTAAATAAATTCTAATACATGAAAGTATTGCATCTAATACTAAAAAAAAAAAAAAAGCAGTTTAAGAGAGAACAATAGGATAAATATAGTTCTGTGTCTTCTGCCAGACTCTCAGTGTCTTGGTGATTTTCCTGTTGCTGGGACAAAATAGCCAGTACCCACAATGTAAAGGAGGGGAAGGTTGCTTTTGCTCATAGTTGCAGTAGGTTCAGTCCATGGCTGGCCAGCTGCAAGGCAGAAATGGCATGGCGGAATGGCGTGGCAGAGGAAAGCTGTTTGTCACATGGGCCAGGAAGATGAGAGGGAGGGAAGGAGCTAGAGACAAGAGTACACACATTCAAGTCCCGCCCCCAGTGATACACCTCCATCTGGGCCCCTTCTAATGGCACATTCAGTTACTAATGATACACCACCTTCTAATGGCACATTCAGTTACTAGCCTTAGCGATCAGTGAATCCACTGATGAGTGTGATGCCCCATAATCCAGTGAGATTTGGAGAGGCCGCATTTTACATCTAAGCCATAACACCCAGTTTGTGTCTACTGCATGCGAAGAAAGGATATTGGATGAACATGAGAAAACAACATGAAAGACCAGGAGGACTGAAACTGGGCCAGATGTGAATATGTAGATTAGGACAATTGATAGATACACAATCACTTCTTTTGGTGTTGACTTTAGTCATCAGCTCTGCCTTTTAAAACTATCACTTTTGAATGGCACCAAACTCTATTTCCTAGAGATTACACAGCCCAATCTGCCAGAATTATTTTTGTAAAAGGCGTATCTTATTCTCTTCATCTTTTCATAGCCAGATATTACACAGATGCCTGTATCTGTACATTCCTTGATTCCACAGGTAACATTAATTGCCTATTGATTTTAAGGTTGAAATTCTTTAACATGTTGCATGAAACCCATCACAATCTGCCATAATCTACTTCTGCAGCTTTATCTCTTTTCATGTCTCACTTCTCTAGACCTCCGTTTCCTCTCGTGGGAAATGGGCCTAGAGTTGTGAGAACTAAATGAGAATGTCTGTGTTGATTAAACACTGCTGCATGCGCAAACACTGTCAAACCTGTGCTGAAGACAGCAGTCTCTTACTTTCTCCGTTTGTGCTTGGCCGGCCTCCTCTGTGGCAGTGGGGCAGCTGTGACAGTGACAGGGACAGGTTGGCAGCTGAAAACACACAGGGCACTTGAGGTCTCCCCAGGAAACCACTGTGCCACCACATCCTGTTGCTCTCACAAGTCAGGTGGCCAAATTCAGAGTCAGACGTCTTCAGTGAAAAACACTGAATTCACCTGGGAAAGTGTGAATGCATCAGTGAGTGAAGATTTGGAGCCAGTAGTACAATCCCTAACACTGTCTAATCAGTCAGTCTGTCTATCTGTCTGTCTGTCTATCTATCTATTTATCTGTCTCTCTACACGGTGCTATATATATCAGTCCAGCAATCATCGGGGCTTGGCATATATTTAAGGAGTTTTATCCCCATTTCTTTACCACTCCTACTTACAAAAATAAAAACTCATTTATTATAAAAACTTACTGCTCTCCATGTACATATCATTCACTTTTCTATTCCTATATTTTGTTCAAGATATGCCCTCCACCTGGAAGGCTTCTTTCCCGTGTTTTTTTTTTTTTTGCCAATTCTGATTCCCCCAGCTACAGTGAGTCACTGCTTCCCCCCCACTTGCCCATTTGTCTGAAATTCTACCCACAGCACACTGAAATGTATGCTCTGTCACAAGCCATACTATTAGCCAGCTGGAGAGTTGCCCTCCTGTAATCTCAGCTAATTTGGAACCTGAGGCAGGAGGCTTGCGAGTTCAAGGTCAGTTTGTGTATCTTAGTGAGACTCTGTCTTATAGAAATCCAGAGTACTATCCATTGCGCCACGGAGCCACAAGACTCTGTCTTATAATAAAACATAAAAAGGGCTAAGAACGTAGCTCAGTGGTAGAGGACTTGCTACCGTGCCTGAGGCCCTGGCTTCATTTTCCAGTACTGCAAAATCAGTAACAAGGCCTGTGTTAGATATCTGTGTCCCTCTGTTCTACCTCCTCCTAGTCTTTCTCCACATTTGTGTCTTAGTGGACAGCCGTGTCTTCCTTGTCATCTTACTGATCCTATTCTAGTACATAAAAGATTCTAAGCCATTTGTTAGAGTCCTTGGTGGCCTGTTTTGTTATATATCTATTATTGTTTTAAAATATAGGCTAAAACTTGAAAACCCAAATCAATACACAACCGCACAGCGTGCTTTATAAGTATGGAAATTTTAACATTTTTATAACATTCTTGGCTTAATGCCAAAGTTGGCGAATCTGCAACCAACATTCTTGAATTGAAAATAAACTTATGACTCCTTACAGGTAATATATTGTGACCAAACTTGCCAGAAAACACACTGGTTTGCACATAAGAAAATCTGTAAGAATCTGAAGGATGTGTATGAGAAGCAGAAGTTGGAGGCTGCCAAAGAAAAGAGTCAAGAGGAGACGGGTACGTATATAATTCTACCCGCTGAGAGCGAGCGGAAGGCAAGCAGAGTCCTGGGCTGGAGCCTGCACATCCTACTGCAGTGCTGGGATAGCTGATACTCACACTGAGCACATAGGAACTGAGAATTTTCTGGAGACCAGGGAAGCACTGGGGTGACTACCATAGGGAGCACACTTAAACGCATCAGCTTTTCTGAGTCCATAGGTTGACACATAGAATGTGATCAGCATGGACATCACTGGAAACTTCTGAGGAATTTGTTTTATTCCACATTCTCTACCCTAACTTAGGAGATCATCCTGGAATGTGGGGAGGTGAATTTTAATGGGTATTCACATATGTTCTCCTCAGTGAGGGTTTTAAGGTCTTTGCATGAGGAAATAATTAAGTTTTCCCTAGCAGCTACCAAAAGAAGATTTTAATGTTGGAAGCCTTTAAATTTCTTAAGATGTCAAAACTACACAGTGTATTTACAAGTTACAGATGAGATTCCCGCAAGTGTCAGAGCAGTGAGCCCTCCTGCGGGTGGGTAGGCGGCTCGTCTTCGGAAACAGTGAGGCGCTGCCGCAGTGATTCTCCCGTTGGAGGGGAGAGCACCCCCACCCCAGTGGTTATGCCTTGGGTTCTGGAAGAAAGTGTATAATTTGGAAAAATTACGTAGGAGACTGATCCTAGGCTCTTCCACCTGCACCCTTCAAGGGATCATGTCTGCTTTATCACGCATGGCCTGGCTGAATTGTTTGGACAGAATTAAACCATTTCTCATTAAGAGAATAATCGGCTTTCTGACTGTTATGCCTTCTCCTATTTTCTGAACTGAGCCTTTTCTTCTGGTGCTAATGGCCAGAATGGCAGCTGTTCATGCCCTAACACACCATGATGAAAGAAAGAGTGAGACTGTTAGAATGGGAACTCCCAGCGGTGCATCAGCCATGTACCACACACGGTCCTAACATTACAACCTTTGGGCAGGCTCTACTGCTGATGCCATTTTATAGATAGTATAAGTGAGGACCCAGTACAGGCAGTTACCTACACAAGGACACCAGGTAACTGGAAGGAGGGCTGTATTCAAACACAGGTGTTTTTCAAGTCCCAGACAGTGACCCTGATTTAGAGGACTGGCTTTGGAGCAAAAGCCACAGTCCCGAGTTCAGTACTCATTTGGCTGTTTCACAAGATGTGAAACTTGGAGCAAGGAATCACACTTCTCATTTTCACCATTTGTAAAACAGGGATGATGATAATTTACCGTAAGTAATGACAGAATTAGATGAGTTAATACTTACCAAACATAAGAGTGTCTGGCACATTGTGAGAACAAAATACCTACATTTTTTTCCTTTTTATCAGATGGCAAATCCGATGTCAACTCTAGTTGTTCTAATGCAGAGCAACCAGGGGCTGAAGTGGGTGTCTCCCAGGAGGAGTCCAGTGCTAAAGATCCTGTAGAAGAGGAGAAAGAGCCTGCTGGAAGTGAGGCTGGGTTGGCAGGTGTACAGGACGCCCCTGCAGCCCCACAGGTCTCTGAGGAGTAGGAGCCGCAGCCGCTGCCCGTGTGGATGGTCCTCATCCTGGCAGGCGCCCGGAGAGCTCACGTGACTGTGTCCTCTTTGCCTCGCTACCCCTGCATGGCACCATGGTGGGACTGCGCATTTCACAGAATAGAGGCTTTCAAGCAAAGCTCTATCTGCCGTGCCCTGATTTCCTATTGATTTCTGTTCTATAATTGGACAAGCATTTCTATAGAAAAATGCTTTCTTTCAAAACGCAGGAAAAACATTTCTATTCCCTTTCTTAGGCTGGTCCTCCAGCAATTGTTCTCACAGGAAAATCAATCCCCTGAAAGAAAGAAGTACAGACTGTAGGCAACAAAGGGACAAACAGAAAAGGTGTGAAAGGGAAGAGATTTTTCAAGAAAGAAAAATTTTATAGCCACAGAAATGAGTAGTTAAAAAAAACATGTGAATAAAATGCATATAATAGCATTTATAATAGTGAAGTTCTGCGTACTGAGATGTAATGAATTGAAGAAAAGCTGTATGTTTAAAATAAAGATCTTCACCGCTGCTCAGCTAAGTGAATTTTTATGTAGAAATTCTCCTGAGCGGTCTGAACTTCATATAGTTTCTGCTGTGAAGTTCTCTGCTGCAGTTGTACCTGCAGAAATGTCAGCTCCCTTGGAAGGAGCTGAGGTGTACCATGGCTAGGGCTGTCGCAGCATGTGCATTAAACACTCCTGTACATTTTTGATTAAGTAGTGGTGATACATACGATACATACAATTCTTACGAGACTGTGTGCCATACTGTACCTGAAAGAGTTTTATCTTCCTGTAAGCTTTTTATGGGACTCTTCCTGTCCAGAACCTGTGATTTTTAACTGTCATTTACAGAATGTCCTGCCCTGTTTGTAGCATATGTGATATTTAAACAGAGCTGGAATGTCTAAAGATTGTGCTGTGCCTCAGTGTTTCTTGTATTGATTTTTATTTTTTATTTTTTATTTTTTTTGGTTTTTCTCCAGTACCGGGAACCGAACTCACGACCTTGCGCTTGCCAGGCAGGCGCTTTTGCCACTGAGCTAAATCCCCAGCCCCTGCATTGATTTTTAAATGACTCACACCTACTCATATAAACAACTCTCTGGTTTCATAATTTGTTGTGAAGAGGCGGCCCGTATCACAGAATGTAACCAATAAAGGGAAACTGAGCAAATAATGGAGAAGAAAGTAAATATTATTTTAATATCTATAGTTGCAGATGAAAATGATTGAATTCTCACCTGACTGTGCAGATCAGGTAGTAGTTGAAGATGCAGTCTTGAGTTAGGAGTCCACAGGGAGGCTGGCAGATTGGCAGGCTTTTGCTGGGACTTTTTACTGTCCACAGATGTTTCCATGCTGCAGGCTACTCCATCTCCATAGCTGGAATAAATAAGACAAAAAAAAAGAATGCCCAGAGAACTCAGCAGGTGTCGTCGTCCGGATCCCAGGGCCCCTAGGCAGAGCACCGGAGCCCAGCACCCTGTATGGCAGAGAGCGGGGTGAGCAGCAGGAGAAGCATGGCTGACATGCACATACACACAGAAGCATCACAGATCAGAGAATGTGGGTAAAAGCATGTTTGTGGGAGAGAGAGGCCTGGGGAGACTTAATACCCGGAGGGGAACATTTGTCACTGTATAGAAAAGGTGCTTTGATGAGTCTTGGCATAGTGGATGAGTTCAAACAAAATCACCCATGGAATTCCTCCTCAGCTCTCTCTCAACACTGTATTTTCTCACAGAGAGAAGGTGTGAGAAAGTTGAGGTGTGGGGCTTGGAGTGAGGTGGCCGAGTGTGGGGAAGACGAAAATCAGCCTGACAGGAGAATGCATCCTGCCCAGAAATGGCACTCACCAGTCCACACAGTGACGTGAGCCAGTTCCTTAACTCTACATTTGCGTGCATGTATCTGTGCGTTGTATTTCTCTAATAACCCTAATACATCACATGTCTTGATCAGTTTGCTTTATTCTTAAAAATGATCAAGTGCTAGGAGGTTTACTCAACAAATACTTCTCGGTTCTGGAAGCCAGAAGTCCAAGGTGAGGGTGCCAGCAGGATTGGGCTCCTGGTGAGGGATCTTCCCCAGTCACAGGGGACGTCTGATTGTATCCTCACACTGAAGAAGGTAAGCCAGCTCTCTGGCTTCTTAAAAGGGACTGAGAACCCTATATTTATGACCCAGTTATCTCCCAAGGATCCCATGTAGGAATTAGATTTTAGTATATGAATTTGGAGGGGACATTGACATTTAGTCCACATAAGTACAGTCCCTAAGGGGAGCAGTGATCTTAGGATATGACGTATGTAATAGCTAACGTATATCAAATACTTTAAGAAAATCACTCTATGTTGCACTTTATACACATTACCTTAGTCTTTGAGACTTTTGTGAAGTCACTACTATTACTGAACAAGAGGAAATTGAAGCCTAGAGTGATTAACTGACTTTCCCAAGTCACAACTAATAAAAGTTGTAAAAGGTAACTAGTAAGAGGTAAAGTTTGTCAGATTCCAGAAGCCCAGATTTTAACCAGAGCCTTCTATACCTCTGTATATTAGAATTCTGTTTTCTAGTCATGAGACCTCCAAATGGATCCAGAAATAAATATGCTTTCACTTGAGCCAGTTTGAGTGTGTCTCTGTCATTTAAAGCAAAGAACCTAATTCAAAATGCCCTCTCATTAAATGGTGTATCACATTTTGGAAGAGTTTTAGGTAACTTATGGGCCGTATCTTCTGGTCTGTGTTTCCCCTGAAATGGTATTTAATATGTTTTCCAGTCGTAACCACTCAGTCGTTCATTACTGAATAAAAACGTCCAGTACTGAAGAATGTACTTCAAAGCAAATCTCTTTCTCCATGCAAGTGGGGCATGGTTCCATTAGTTCTCAAAAATGAAAAACAAGTAAAGTCTTTTAGGCATTTTTTTCAAATTAGAGCAAATTTTCCATTTTTTTCAGTACTTGTGGGAGTAAACAAAATAATAGAGTACACATTCTTTTATTCTTTTAGTAGATAATCTAAACATTATAAAATCTCATCCTTAATTTGTTACAGTCTAATTACAATATACTGCTTTTGCAATTTATGGGCTAGCTTAAACCTGGTCCCAAATAGGTCATTTTCCTCAGAAAGTGGATTGTGGCCACCCAATGGTATTGATGTCTCTGCTTCCACTCAGCTCACGATGAGTAGCTTGGGTCAGTTATTTGGCCAGTGGTTGGCTGTCATTACTAGGATGGGTGCAGTAGCATATCCAGAACAGTTGCTTGAACAGTGACTAGTTCTCTGCTGCAGGTGGTGTGGCCTTGCTCAGGAGCCCTGGGAAACAGTGCCCTGACTCTGCTTTAGAACTTGCAAGATCTGTAAAGCACCATAGATCAGTCTGAGTGATGTGTTAGTTATCTATTGCGGTGTAACAAACCTTCCTCAAAGTTACTGTTATGGTTTTTGTCTGTGTGTCCCCCCAAAGCCTCCTGTGGCCCATGGGCAGGCTATTAGAGTTGAATGATTGTGGGCGTGAGAGCTACACCCACCCTGGGGTGAATAGTTTGCATATGTAAGGAGAGGAAGAAGTGCTTGGAGCACTCCTCCCACATTCCGCCCTGGTGTGTGGGTCCTGATAGTCCCTTAGCTGTGCTGCCGCCCTGGGATGCAGCCCTCTGCCACGTGCCACTCTGCCTGATAATCATGCCTAGTACGGATTGAAACCTCCACAAACTGTAAGCGAAATAAACCTTTCCTTCCTTAATTTTGGTCATCAGATATTTTGTCCCAGCAGCGAGAGAAAGGTAACCAAGACAGTTACTAATGAAAATCAGTAAGCCTTACATAGTTTCTGCCTCCCAGAAGTTGAAGAGCAGCTTAGCCTGGTGGTCCTGGGATGGGGTTTCTTTGGCCTGAGAGTAGAGGAAAGCTTTCAGCCAGAGTTGCAGTCATCTGAGGTTTAACTGGCAGTTGACACAAAGCCTGAGGCTTCAGTTCCCCAGAATATGGACCTCTCTCCTAGGACTGCTTGAGCGTCATTACTACATGGCAGTTAGTGATCCAGGATGCAGAGGAAGGGAATGTGTTCATTCCTACCCTCACCTCATCTTACCACTCACAGTCGCTTTTGCCTTGATCGTGGGCATGCTCACATAAATGCACAGACTCTGGCTGTGCATGGGTCCTAAGCACCCACAGTTGAAAGGATGGTACTGATTCTTGGTGATTATGCTTTCTAAGCTTTCATCTCTTGTCTATTTTGATGTCAGTCCCAATTTTACAGTATGTCTGTGCTCCCCAAGCATAGGGATAGGGAGAAACATCACTCTGCCTTACATAAGTGTTTAATCCCTTGGTTGAGGGGATCCAGCAAGGTGTTTAAGTTACATTAAATGTCTTAAGTTTTTCCCTTAGAACCAGGTAACTGCCAACAGCTTATCTGATTTCCTTTTTCCCTTGACATTCAATGTCTGGATAGGCCAAGTGCAGATCACTAGTCCACACCCAGAATTGAAAAATGTCTCCAGCAGCAAAGGAAAACGAGACCCTGGGTAAATATAAATTGTGGTAGAATACTATATAGCACCGAGAATGACAGAATTCTTGCTACTAGCAAGAACATGGATAAATCTTATAATGTTGAGAGAAATGAACCAGACAGAAATATCCATTCATCTATTCTTTCGATTCTATTCATATGCCCTTTCACCATTAGACATGATTAATTTATTGTCTAAAATCATCGTAGTGATTATTTTTCAGCAGCAGTGGCCAGTAACAATAACGAGTGCTCTAATGTTCTATTTCTTAGTCATAGGTACCCTGTCCGTGAGCATATTACCCTATTCAGTTTTTGAAAATTTGTTAAGTTGAACACTTATAATCTTCATACATTGCTACATGCATGTTGAACTTCAACAAAACCTTGTATTATAAAGCCTCCACTATAGGAATTATTTTTTTCATTGTTGGTGTTTCTGTGTATATTTAAAGGGTGCAAACCATAGCAAAATAAGTACATAGTATGCGAAGTCACAGGGAAGTTTAATATACACTTGAATACCAATAGGGTTTCTGCAAACACCAGGAGGTTATCTCAGTGTAACTGTGAGCATCTGAGCAGTTTCCGTGCCTTTCTCCTGAAGGTACTTTTCCTCTCGCGTGGGAACTGTGTCCCAGTTCATGGAGGTTACAGTCATCACTGATCTCTTTAAGGACCTTACGAAGACAGCATCTTCTGGGTCATCAAACACAGTTCTGCAAGGGTAGCAACCATGTCAGAAAGGAAAATTAATTTGACCAATCTGGATTTTTAATTTAAATAAATGCTGTATTTCCTGTGTTGTTTATACTATAGTATCACTATCAAATAATTTGTAGATTCTACTGACAAATGACTTTCAGGCTAAGTGACTTTTTATTGTATATATGGTTTATGTCTAAAATAGAGTATCTGGATATATTTGGGGATTTGTTATAGTTTCACTGTCACACTCATGCATATGCTTTTGGAAATGATGTTAAATGAGATGATTAGAATATTTTTACTATTATGCATATTAATAGAGTTAATGTTTGATTATAAATTTGTTTTTATTATGATATATTTCATTTTCAACAATAAATCAAAGAATGTTGAAAAATACAACTATGAAAATGATTTTTAAATTCATCAATATTCATGATTTTGAAATAGCTCCCTTAGTTAATGAAATGTTTGCTTTGGAAATGCAAATTTAAGTGAATGTAAAATATTAATCTACATAATAATTGTGCTCACTGAATATATTTAGAGGAAAAGTAAACAAAGTCCCTCATTTGGAACAGCTAACAGTTACTAAGTTTCTGGTACTGGCAATCGAACTCAGGACCTTGCGCTTGCTATGCAAGTGCTTGTGCCGCTGAGCTATATCCCGGCAGCCCCTTAATTGCTAAGTTTCTATATGCATTAAATCACCTTGAGATTTATTTAGTTATATAAAAACCTTGAAGATGTCAAGTATAAATACATAGCTGGAACTCATTACAGAAAAACAACCATTTCGTCATCTATTGAAGAGCTAGTCATTTTGTAATTAATTAAAGTTTATTTTAGACAGCATTGATAATCTAAGGAACAGGACATTTATGAAATAATCTAATAAAAGTAAAGACTTTTTAAAAGCACTTACTTGTCTACGTTATCAGCAAATGCAAAATCTAAAACAAGAAATTCTAAATTAGTATTTTTCAAATGATTATTCTGCATTTAAAAGCAATGGAACAATGCTGTAACCTGTTTTCAAGCAGTGTAGCAGAGATGCCTTGATACTTAACCAAATCTGAAATTTTCTTTTAGTTATGGTGAGTTTTGTCTTAGGATGTGGGACAAATTTATTAATGTAATACAAATCTCAAAACCCTGAGAAGAGAATACTTGATCAATTCAGTTACCAATGGAATTCAAGTGGGAATTTTTTAAAATTAGGATCCGAGTTTCAGAGTTGAACCTTTTCTTTCTGATGCACCAGTAAATGGGACAATAGACCAAAGGAGAAATATTTAAGGTCATTTTGCTCACTTAGATTCTTGGCATTAACTTCAAAGAAAGAATAAATCCCAGATCACGAGAATCTCTGTCTTCCCTAGCTTTAGAGCTCACGGACTAGGCTTGAATGGCTGGCCTGCTTATGGTATTTTCCAGACTCATTGCTTGCCTTCTCTCCAGAAGGCCGGGCTGGAGGTGGGACTTACCAGCACCTGTTGGGCCACTGAAGTCCACAGTATGAGCTCCTGCCAGTCACATGTAGCAGAGCACACAGCCTTGGGCCAATACATGGCCTTGTCCCCTGCACATAGGGCTGACCCAAGTCTCCCTGGCTTTTCTGTTCTATTCTTCCTACTTTCTCTCTCTACATTTTGCCTTCTGTATTATTGAGTGAAAATTGAAAAATACAAATTAGACATATTAGATATTTTGGTATACATATATTGTGAAATACCACAATAAGCATGCTAATTAACCTTCCTATCACTTAATTATCATTTATTTTTCTTTGGGGGTGGATGTATAGTCATGAGAACATTTTGGATCTACCCTTTTATCCTATTTCAAGTATATAGTCACTTAACTATAGTTAATTATAGTCACTTCACATTATATCACCAGAAATTTGTCATCTTGCATAACTGAAACTTTATCCCCTTTGCCCAATATCTTATTTCTCTCTTTCACCAGTCCACTGATAACCGCCATTCTATTCTCTGCTTCTAAGAGTTTGCCCATTTTAGACTTTATATTCAAGTACCATTATGCAGTATTTTCCCTTCTGTATGGTTTATTGCACTTAGCATAATGTTCTGTAGGTTTACCCATATTGATGTAGATGGCAGTGTGTCTTAGTTACTTTTCTCTCGTTGCTGGTACAAAATACCCAATGTCCAAAATTAAGGAAGGAAAGGTTTATTTAGTTCACAGTTTGTGGAGGTTTCAGTCCATACTCGGCTGGCTCCAAGGCAGAGTGGCACTTGGCAGAGGGCAACAGTTCATGGAGGTGGAAGATAGCAACAGCAGCAACTGCAAAAGGGGGGAGTGGCTGCAAGGAGCCTTTTTCTGTCCATTACATATGACAGCTATCCATCCAGGGCAGGTGTAGCACTCACACCCATAATCCCAGCATTGGACTGTGGATCAATCAAATATCTAGAAGCCCACCCCAGGACTGCATGAGGATTTGGGGGGACATGCAGACACAAACTATAACATTCCACTCTTGGCCCCACAAAGACTTATGTATATCCCTTTATACAAACAGCATTTAGTCCATCTGCATGAGTTGCCAAAGTCTTAATAGTTTCAGCATTGCTGAAAAGTCCAATTCTCTAGTCTCCTCTGAGATGTAAAGCAAGCTCTTAGCTATGAGCCCCTGTACAAATGAAAAGTTAAACACTTTCAGCATTCAGTGGTTCAAAATACATATTACCATTCCAAAAGGTACAAATGGGGATACAGAGCATTGGAACAAAAGCAAGTCCAACATCCAGCAGGGCTAACATTATGTCCTGTAGTTCCATGTCCAGAGTCTGAAGCAATCTGTGGCACATTGTGAGCTCCAAAGGGCTTGCATGAGTCCATCCCTATGGCACTTCTGATGGTTACAGCTTCTATGGCTTCTCTCTTAGGCCTGCTTTGCTCACTTCTTATAGCTTTCCTTAGACAATCCTTGTTCCTGGATTTTCCAAACTTCTGGGGTCTCCACTGAACCTCTGTTTTCTCACTCACAGCTTCACACACTGTCCTCTCAGGGGCACATTGCCTGGCCTCCCAGGCCTTTTGAAATCTAGGTGGAAGCTTTCTTAACCTCAGAACTCTTGCATTCTGCATGCACCTAAAACCAGCACCACGTGGATGATGCCAAGGTCTGCTGCCTCCTGGAGCAGTAGCCAAGCTTTCCTCTCTCTTGGCCATAGGGGGTCAAGTGGCTGGATTGCTGGGCACTCTGAATCCAATTCTGAGGAGCAAATCCTCTATGCCACCACCATTCTGAAACGTGGTGCGGCTGCTGCTGCCATTTTGGAACATGGCGCTCTGCAGCTTTGCTCTCAAAGCAAAGTCTTTCCTCTTTTCAGTTTTTAGGCTGCAAAGGGTGGAGACTTGCTGTTTCTTGTGATGCCTCAGGCCATCTTTTTGATTCTTTTGTTCCTTCTCAGCAAAGGAGATCTCCTCATCCTTATCTTGCAGTCCACAGCTTTACTAGAGCTTCCTTTCTGGCCAAATACATTTTAAATCATCCTGCTGGTCTCTTTGCTCTTGATTCTCAATATAAATCTGGCTAAAAACCCCCAATAATAGCTATGCCACCACCTCAACATTCAACTGTTTTGAAATTTCTTTTGCCAGATTAATTAGTGCACCACTACCATCTCAGTGTCAGGCAAAGTCTCTAGACAGAAGCAAAATGCAGAGAAAGTTTCTGCCAAGCTATAACACATCATCTGGAGTCCAACAGCCAACGCAGTCCTTCTTTCCAGAAGGAAACTCCTAAGCCTGGTCTTTACCAGCAGGATTTCTACCAGCCTTCTGGTCTTCTGAGCTCCGACCAGACTCTCCCATAAAGAACTGAAGGTGTCCCAGCTCTACTCTTTCAGGCCACATCTCCAAACCTTTCCAAACACTTCCCACAAGCCATTTCCAAAGGCGCTTAAACCACATTGTCAGGTATAGTCACAGCAAAGACCCCACTTCTCTGGTACCAAATTCTGTCTCGGTTACTCTTCTCTCATTGCTGGGACAAAATACCCGACACAAAATTAAGGAAGGAAAGGTTTATTTAGGTCACAGTTTGTGGAGGTTTCAGTCCACACTTGGCTGGCTCCAAGGCAGAGTGGCACTTGGCAGAGGGCAACAGTTCATGGTGGTGGAAGACAGCAAAAACAACAACTGCAAAAAGGAGGAGTGGCTGCAAGGAGCCTCTTTCTCTCCCTTACATATGCCAACCTACCCCAGGGCAGGTGTAGCACTCACACCCATAATCCCAGCATTGGACTATGGATCAATCAAATATCTAGAAGCTTGCTCCTCGACTGCATGAGGATTTGGGGGGACAGGCAGACACAAACCATAACACAGTGTTTCCTTTTTTTTTGTTTTTTATGTCTTTCTAGGAAATATTTTCATGTATGCTGTTGTATTAGCTTTTCCATCACTGGAACAAAATACCCAACACCCATAACTCAAAGGAGGAGAGGTTTAAATTTGCCCATGGTTTTGAGGGGTTCAGTCCATGGTTAGCTGGTTTCAAGGCAGAAGTGGTTTGGTAGAAGGACATGGTGGAAGAAAGTGGTTCACTTAAGACAGTCAGGAAGCAGAGAAGGGAGGAACTAGGGAGGGATACATCCTCCAAAGCCACGTCCCCAGTGACACTTCTCTGACCAGGCCTTACCTGGTTGAGCCTTACACATCTAGCTGTGAACTCATCAATGGAATAATCAACATTTAGCTATGAGCATAGCACCACCACAATCTAATCACTTTCTAAAAGCCCCACCTCTGAACATAAGAGAATGTTGGGGGACACCCTGGATCTAAACCATAACAGATGTCATCCTTACAAAGTAGCCCTACTTTTTCTCTTTGGCTCAGGGCTGCTACAGGCACAACAGGGTGGTATGTGTTTGTGGGTGATCCTTTTCTATGTACTGTCACCTGGTAGAGTTCTACAGTGTGGCAGCTCTGTTTACCTTTGGTTTTTGCCTCCACAAATTCTTCTGAGTCTGTACAACTCTCACAATTTCTCATCTCTATGCCAAACAACCTCCAGACCTCCCACTGAGCTCAGTACCTGCCTCAGGATTCTTGCATAAGTATCCTTGCACTCTGCATTCACTTTTCTGGGTGAGCCGCGTGTTAAAGCTACTCAAAGATTTCAAAACCTGGCTTCCTGAGCTTTTGATCTTCCAGTTTGTAACTTAAATTTTCTCTGCATTCCGTCCTTTCTAGGGTTACACTGACCTCCTCTGTAGTCAATTGCCATTTGTTGAGTAATCTACCTTGTTTTCCATTTTGGTTTTGTTCTTGTGTCTTGCTGAGGAGCAGAACCTTTGCCTCCAGGTCTTGGCTCTGTGACACTGTGTACCCCCTCACCCTGGCACAGTCCCGACAGCTCTGTCTTGTTTGGAGGGAAGAGCAAATGTGATGGAAATGTAGCAGTGTCAGAGTGAGACATTCAAAAACTTTATTCATGTTTCATTGTAAGTAGTCCATAATGTCTTTTATAGATCAGTAGTGTAGTAGTTTAGTTATTATGTGTAGGCAGTCAAGAGGTCCAACAATAGGGTCAGATAAAAAAAAAAAAAAAAAAGAATAGCCCACTTAGGTTGAGAGCTAATCCAAGCAGCTAAACCAAGCTTAGACACACAAAGGTAAACACAAGAAGAAAGCTAAAAATACACTAAAAAGGGAGGCAAGAACCTTTCCTCCCAAGGAAGAGGTATGCTAAGTTAGTCTGTACCTCACATCAGAGAAAACATTCGCAATGCAAGATAACCAGGTTCTTTTTAAACTCTTGAACTCATCTCCTCTAAACAAATCCCATGCTCTGCCTATCTGTATAAGGCTAAGACAGAAAAGTATGTTGGACTTCCTCCCTTTTTGGTGAGTATCCACTTACAGCTTTTTCTTCTTATTTCTTATAAACACTCTCCTAACCCCTTTCTTTTGT